ACGAAACTCAAAGTGTCCGTATCTAGTCCTAAATGCTGTCTTCGGAATATCTTTCTCCTTAACCCTTACCTGATGGTACCCGGACCTAAAGTCTATCTTCGAGAAATACTTGGCACCTTGCAACTGATCAAATAAATCATTAATCCTTGGGAGCGGGTACTTATTCTTGATCGTCACCTTATTCAACTGTCTATAATCAATACACATCTGCAAGGAACCATCTTTCTTCCTCACAAATAACACAGGTGCTCCCCACGGTGATGTACTAGCTCTGATAAAGCCTTTTTCAAGCAAGTCCCTTAGTTGTTCCTTCAACTGTCTCAGCTCTGCAGGTTCCATTCTATAGGGAAGAATGGATATTGGCTGAGTATCTGGTAATATGTCAATAGAAAACTCAATTTCTCGCTTTGGTGGAAGACCAAAAAGCTCATCGAGAAAAACATCGGGAAACTCATTAACCACAGAGATAGATTGAATGGTTGGTGACTCTACTTTCACATCCCATACCCGAACTAAGTGATAAATATAGCCCTTTCTAATCATCTTCCCTGCCTTGAGATAGGAAATAAACCTACCTCTCGGCGATGCCGTATTACCTTTCCACTCCAAAACAGGCTCCCCTGGAAATTGGAATCGAACCATCTTTGATCTACAATCAACGTTGGCATAACAAGAAGCCAACCAATCCATACCCAGTATAACATCAAATACTACCATATCTAACTCAATTAGGTCGGCTACTGCAAATCGACTGTGAACTACTACTGTTCAATCTCTATATACTCGCGTAGCTATCACTGGATCCCCAACAGGTGTGGACACCTCAAAAGGTTTAACCAACTCAGGTTCTATTCCAAACTTACTAGCAACCAACAGAGTAACATATGATAAGGTGAAACCTGGGTCAATCAATGCATATACATCATGAGGAGACTAAAAATATACCTGTAACAACATCAGGTGACGACTCCTAATTATGTCGACCTGCTAATGCATAAATGCGGTTCTGAGGATCGCTCGAGCTAGATGCCCCACCTCTGCCTCTACCATGACCGATTGGTGCTTGTGAACCTTGCCCAGGGGGGCATACTGATGATGACGAACCAGCTACAGAGCCCGCTGGCTAAACTATGCTTGCACAACCTCTTATCGGACAATCTCTCATAATATGGCCTGGATAACCACAAGTATAACAAACACCCAACCCCATACGACACTGCCCCGCATGCTCCTTACCAAACTGAGCACATCATGGCAAGGGCGGCCTCATCTGACTTGACTCACCCCTATACTGAGAACTTGAGGCCCTGGAATTCTAACTAGGCCCTGAATTTGTAGAACGATCAAATCTCCTACCGGCAAACTGAGGGGGTGCGCTTGTCGATGGCTGGGCTGGATACCTCGGGTATTGTTATCTCTGACCACCTCGAAACTCACCAGAAGGACCCGCAGATCTCGCTCTCTTACTCTGGCCCCTATCATACACACGATTGGCCCTCTACTTCTGCTTATGATCCTCTACACCCTGAGCGTATGCCTGAATATGAGAAATATCCATGCATGGCTGAAGTAAGACCGACATATAGTCGTTAAGCAGGTGCGGCTCCAACCCCATCACGAACCGGTGAACCTGATCCTCCATTTTAGCTACAATAGTGGGAGCATACCTAGCCAAACAATCAAACTGAAGGCTGTATTCTCGAACACTCATATTACCCTGCCGAAGGGTCAAAAACCTATCAACTCTAGCCCATCTAAGCTCTGGTGGCAGATAATGGCGAAGAAAACCCTCCGTAAACTCATGCCATACCACTAGAGGGGCATCCTCACCTCTGGACAACTCCCAAGACTCGTACCAATTTACTGCAACATCCTGAAGTTTATAGGAAGCTAGCTCAACTGACTCAGTCGCAGTGGCCTTCATTACCCTCAAAGTCCTCTGCATCCTATCGATAAATACCTGAGGGTTCTCGTTTGGATCTGCTCCAGTGAATACCGGAGGGTCCAAATTAATGAAATCATGAACCCTCGCACTGATGGCCCTATCTGCATGACCAATACCTACTTCCTAACGCTGAGATTGTGCGGCTACTAATCGAGTCAATAGCTGAATAGCATCTCTCATATCCTGCCCCAGTGCATCTGACTGAGGAGATGAGCGTGCAGGGGAAGGCGCTGGAGCTGGTGCCCCTTGGAGCTCCTCTGGAGAGGGCGGGGTATGTGAAGTTTGAGATGGAATCTCACTATGAGACTCTCCTCGAGCCCTGCTCGTGGCGCTCGACTAGTAGTCTCATCAGCCACAAACTTTCCCTTTTAGGTAGCTGTAGCCTTCTTAGGCATCGCTGAAAACATAACATATCGTTAGGGAAATGAATCCTTATATCGCACGACCTAAGATAAGAAAGGAGGATAGCATCCTCTTTGTCCTGTAGCCTCCTATTTTTAAATATGGTGCACAACACACTCATAAACAAGACTCTACTAGATATGGTCTGTAGACAACCCTAGGACATAACTTCTCTAATACCATTTTTATCACGACCCAAACCGATAGGCCATGACTAGTGCCGAGTCCTACCCGTCGAACACCCCTAAGCATGCGTCTAAGATATAAACATGAATTAAGGGCAGGTCATGAATAACACCTGTCAATAAATTACTGAATCATGTGAATAACATACGTGAGGAAAACATGTCCAAAAGACATATATACATATACATGCGGAATACGGTAGGGCGAGCCGACAAGGCTGCTATAGACAACTATATATCCAAAACTAGAAGCCGACAAGGCCACATACTATCCAACTATACATGACTATCTACAAACCTCTGATAGAGTGTACAACTGTATGAAGGACGGGACTGGGCCCCGTTGTACCCATATCTACATACAAAACTAGCGTACCAAAACTAATAACAACTCCGAATCAAGTGGAGCACACCAACTCTTGCTGATCAAGAATCCTAAAAAGGGGGACCGTTAGCCTGTCTACCTGCACCTGCGGGCATGAAACGCAGGCCCTAGGAAATAAGGGCGTTAGTACGAATAATGTACCGAGTATGTAAGGCATGAAAACCAGTACATAAAAGACATAAAAGAAACATGGAGTAAAGGAATCCACCTGTAAGTCTAAATAACTTTGTGAATCATAAAATATTTATAAAGTCATGCCTGTGCGTATAAATGTGGTATCATGCGTAGGTATATGTGTACATAACATCATCAAGCCTCTGAGGGCATCGCATCATATCATCTCAGCCTCTGTGGGGGAAATCATCAACGTATACCAACTGATCAGATGGTGGAGCGTATATAACGCCGTAACCTTTTCCTATATCCCATATACATATAATATACACGTATATAACGCCGTAACCTTTTCCTATATCCCATATACATATAATATACACGTATATAACGCCGTCTGATCATGGGTCAATGTACATGTATAAATGAATGAAATGCATAAGAAGTAAGTCAATAAGATTTCTCGGAATGTCATAAGATCAATATGCTTCCGGATAAATTTTATCAACCACATATTTTTCTAAGACCCATGAACAAAAGATATAATAATAAGACACATGGGAATTCAAGAACATAGGCACCCCTAGTGCTTCTATGAATAGAGACATTTATGAAAGTTGTGCGTTTGCTCGTTTCGTTTGTGTATCATATGGATCATGCCAAAAGTAAAGAAGGGATATCCTTAACATACCTTACTTGACGAATTTATCAAACACCTTTACTTGAGCTTGCCAAGAACAACTTTTGCTCCTTCTAAATCTTTGACCAAGAACTAAGCACTTCTTATGATCATGGCATACTTCATGTTGTTGAACATATGGAGTATCATGTGTGTACATTTTTGGCTATGTTCTAAAGTAAGAGAATCCCCAACAATAGAAGAAAAGATTTCAACATCCTTTCTATATCTCAAATTGCCAAAGAAGAATAACATGAAGGCTTAAGGGATATATCTTGCACTTTCACGTGTAAACAAGGCACATCAAGTGCTATGACTCATCTATGCACATTGGTGCCACCCTTGGCCAACTTAATGCCATGTAGCAGCCCATTAAAAATTCTTATCCACTTAATCCTATTTAGTACCATAATTATTTCCTTATTTTCCCATATTATTCCCATAATTAATCAATTATTCACATAATTAATTCTAGCGCACAATTTACTTGAATACTAATACATTTCATATACCTTACTATCATGGTTATGTGGTACCTTGTATGGCACTAGTCCATAAATATGGAGTATTACAGCTTGGACAGTATTTTATCCCAAATTGACAAACTTCAACGAATACTCATTCTTTGATTTGTTTACCCTCTAATCTTCACGGCACTCACTTATCACTTGTTACAAATAACATAAATACTTATAACCTCAAAAATAATCTCATTCCCGAGCTTATGTCGATTAACTTATGACAAAACTTTAACGTACGAAATGCGAGATGTAACAAGAACCTCCGCGATCGCGATGAATAAATTCGAACAAACTTGGTCAACTCTTCCAGGTAGCCTATAGTATAATGGCCATAACATTCTGTACAAAACTCAAAATGACAAACAGACTAATTTTCTGAAAATTAAACACAAAGGGCTACAACTTTTATTTGTCGATCATCTCCAAGTTCCTTATAGATTGCAAGATATAAGCTCCGGAAATCAGCTCAGTGACATGAGAAATTTCTTTTGCGCGAATGCGGATAAGGCCACCGTGATCGTGATTCACTAGATCCAAACAACAATTTACTCTTCGTGAATGCATCCTAGAGGTCCACAATCGCGATTCACACCCCTTGTAGCCAAAAACCAGCTATTGAAAAGGGCCTAAAAATGGTCTGAAACCATCCTGAAACTCACCTGATCCCCTCGGGACCCCGTCCAAACATTCCAACAAGTCCAAATACATTACCCAAACTTATCCAAAAGCTCTAAATATCATAAAAAAACATCAAAATCAAGAATCAAAGATCAAGATCGGAGTATGTAAAAAATCCTAATGCTCTCTACATAGGCGATTTATTTAAACAGTAAATTGACGGACAACTATGGTCATCGATCCCTCGTCCGGTGGTGAAAAACCATCAAACCAGTCCCAATAATATCGTATCAGCAATGCACACAAACCCCAGGTAGGCACCCATATCCAATTCTTCCCCATCTGCTGCAGAAATCAACAATGGTGGAATTGTCATCTCACCAAACAATTGCCAGGAGAGAGCCAAAATCCACTTCAACGTCCCTGGGTCAAATAGACTGATTCAAGGCCTTGAAGATGTCTCAACACATCAATTACAATCAACCCCCAAAGATTCAGACAACATCACCACAGGAATTCCCGTCTACGGCCAGATGAGCAACGCATCAACTAGATGTTGGCCACGCATGCGAATACAAATGTCCAAATTGTTCAAATCCAACATAAATCAACTACAATTGATCTGGATATTGATCCCAAACCCTCAAACAACAATTACATTGAACAATTCATCATAACAATACAGAACACTATGTATGCAAACTCCACTATGCCTTATGTTCGACGAAATGTCAAGGTCAATTTTGATGCCAATTTTAATGAACAAATGAATAGTTGTGCTTTACAAAATAATGTTGAGATTAGTCGTCATGAGAAATTGCGAGAACAATCAACAAAAGAAAGTGCTGAAAAGTTGTCACCCTCAGCAGCGAATATGTTGCAGGCCCATATTCCTACTGAGAGCAATGAGCTTCAAGCTGCAGTCAATCAATGTGACCTGTCTCTCTCCAACGTTGACAATGAAAACAACAATCCCCTAAGCTATCCAAAAAATATGCCTTCAAGAAGTCCGAATGATAAGGAAGATACAATACCAGTAGAAACATATATTACCGATAAGGGAGAATACTCATCCCAAGCATCCCAACAACAGTTTAAAACTACCCATCCCACCCAAAACATAACTCATACAGCAAATCCCCAACAAGAACAACATATTAGACAATCAACAACCTCAAAACCAGCATACACTGTCCCAAAGATCTCAGCAAATTTTGATAAACCTAACCACCCCAAGGCTAGCAAAAAACCTGCAACCTCAGACCAAAAGGTCCTTACTCAGGCAACCAAAACAAATGAAACACCCAATCCTAAAGACATCAATGTCAAGCCAAATAAATCAGCTAACTACCCTGCTCCATCACCACCTACCATCACCCAATCCTTAGCCACAAAAGTGAGAGCCAGGCAGACTGCAAAAATAGCTCCAATAGAATTCACACCTCCCAGAATAACCACAAAACAGGGCCAGTCTACTGTAATGTTTACCAGGAAGGATTGCATGGTCTCCCTAGCCAACAGATGCCAATCTATATATTTCTATAAAGGAGGGCCTAGGAAAAGGTGATGTGGCATATCTCTTTGTTCAAGGATTACATTTATCTTTTTCCTCGTATTTTTAATATTTTTCATATTTTTTCCATTTATGCATACATTAAGAATCCCAAAAGTCATACTATTTTGCAATAACTGAAAAGTCACGTCTTTATAATTATAACTATTCCCTTCATCTTCTTTCTCATATTCGTTGCTTCTTGATCTCTGTCGCCTTCTTCCTATCCTTTTCTTCTCGCCGGTCTCTTCGACTGCTTTTCCACCGTGGAATGCTTGGCTGCTGGTGTTTTTCACTGCCATTACAGAGGGGGAAGGATTCAGAAAGCAAAGTAGCAAATTCAGAAGGGGATCATGGCCATTCCAACTCCATTAGTCTAATTGCATTATCTGCAGGTATATAGTAGTAAGGATAAAAACAAGTGGGATCGAAATCCCTTGTAACGGTAAGACCTTATTAACTTGCCTAATCGTTTCTATCTTTAAACCCTATTTTCATTCTCTATTTATTTGCTTTGTGGATTCTATCTACACTAATCATAAGCGAAGTCTTGATTTCTGACTCAAAAGTTAATAAAGTTATTTTTCGATAGAACTTATTTGAAGGTATGATCTTTCAAGGTTCAAGCACAGGTATGGCATTGTGGCTTCTGTTTAAGCCTACTTTTGGATGAGAATAGAAGCAGAGGAAAAGCAATTTCTTGATCAAAATTTAATCTGATTAAGATTATGGTGCATACCGGAAGATGGCTAGCTTTTGAGTCCAAGATGGCCATGATTATGACTATTAAGGTTTAATACATTAGCAAATCAATAAAGCCAGAGTGAAATTACTGAGTAAATCTAAGAGTAGTTGTACAGTACTTTCTTGCATTTCACTGTTAATACTCTCTTTACTTTCTGGTTCTTTTATTTATTCTCTCCTTGGGAAATTTTTGAAGTATTACAAAATCTATCACATAGTTTTGAAGAGATAAAGCAGATTTCTGTATCATGGTGGTGAAGACCATCACCTTTCTGACTTGCTGAATGTTTTCTTAAACTTTGGAAGGTTAGTATCATACATTATAAAAATATGGCATTTTCTCCTGATTTACCTAGACAAGATCTAATTTTTTTCCACTCATTGTTTGGTTCTTTTTCCCTTTCTTATAGGAATAGCTTATTTATTTAGTGTGCTAATAAATAAAAGCAATGAAGAGTTGTAAGATGACGATGCAGAGTAGAAGAGTTATCAGCAAGTTAGCAACCATTTAGATTCTACCATCTCTTGCCTGCAATGAAATTCCAGAGAATGCTCTTGAACGTATGTATATTCTTGGTTTTAAGCTTAATTTTCTTTTCTTTGGATTTGATTGTTTAAGCATCTATAGTTTTCTTTTCCCTAATTGGTTTATTTTGTTGTTCTTTTTGGATTGCCCAGGTCCTCTATCTGAAATAGCAGAAAAAACCGATGCTTGCTGACGTTGCCTCAATCTGGTTGTAGATTTGCAATTTATTCTAAACTTTCACTGATGATTGTGTTTGGAAAATGCATGGTGACTAATGAAAATAGCGTTGCAGGAGTGCTAGAAAATTTCATGCTTTTGGGCGCCAGAAATCACACCATATATTAGTGAAGCCTAATTCTATGTCAGTATGTTCTCTCATCCACACTTATATACTGATTAAATTGCAGGCTTACTTTCTATAGTACTATCTTGATGTTCCTAAAGAAAATTATTGTATAATTGTAAACATCTACTATTTGTTAGTAATAGAAAAAAGTGGTGCAGAGTCATCAAGGAGAGCATGTCAGAAATATGTTAAATGTTGACTAATTTTTGCTGATAAATAGTACTATATGTTATTTTTTGAGTCATACTTTATCCTTTAGTTTATCATTTCCGTTAAATATTCAAGGATAGAACATTTAATTATTAGATTTTGATTAATTTTGATTAGGAGTTTCGATGTACTATTATGTGATTCTTTGCTATTGGATCCTTCTATACCTGACAAGTTTTACTGATTTCTTCCTTTTTTTTAAAAAAAAGAAAAGAAAAGAAAAGAAAATGAGAGTATTACAATCTCAACATCCTAGGTACTATTCTCATTAATCTTTTCTCTTTAATCCATTATTCCTTAATATTTTATTTTTGTATCAACTTTTAAAGTTAAAGCTATAATTTGAATGAGATCTTTCTTTAGTTTGTATGATCTATATATTTTTTTCGTTCATTTTGCATAATCATTGTCAATCTCTTTGACGAATAAACATATTTATCTATTTTTTTCCTTTTTCTATTTTCTCTTTTACCTATTTTATTTATGTGTTAAGAAGTCCAAAAGTTGCCTCATTGATCCCCTAAATCATTACACCTTAAATGACTTTGACAGTTTTTATATGGACTTTCATTTTCCCTTTTTTGAAGTAGCCTTTTGAGCTTTCTTTGCCAACATTGTTGCCTCTCACTTTTGTTAAAGACACTTTATTAATAATATGTAGTATTTACAAATGTATTGCTTCAAATCAGGCAGTTCTGCTCTTCAAGCTGAAAATTCAAAGATCAAAAGTCACGAATTTTACAGCCACAAGAAAGAAAGTCAGGGTCTATTCCATAAATTCATATACGCGATGCTTGAGAAACTCTAAGGTTTATAAAATAGTCAGTGCTTTTTGTAGCAGAAATGGTTAACGTGTATGCAAATATATGGACTTTATGTGATATATTTGTCATGATGGTGAATTTTGCTACTCCCCCTGGCATGTTATGAATATTTAACTTGTATGCAAATGTAATAATAGATGATTTCTTTTGATTTATTATTATGAGTTTTGAGTGGTGCCTATTTAGTAGTACTATTAATTTTCTTCTGGCATGGCTTTGATTCTAAAATTTTGTCAATCTATATGCAAAAACTTGAATCTTAAATATAACAAAATTTTGAAATACCTTCTTTGAATCTAAAACCTTACTTTGTATATATGGTTTCTTGAGTATGAAACCTTCTTAAAGTTTCATGTTATGCTGCCACAATATGTTCCTTTCCAACCATCACTATATCTATTTTATAACAGGTCTCGCAAGATAATATTTTAACTGGATATTGGTACATTAAAGATAATTTAACCAAGAATCAATTTCTGTTATCTTCATGTTCTGATTTAAATACCTGAGCCCCATAATTCTGATACAGTAACATATATAAAAGTAGCTTCCAGAAACTAAAATCCCTAAATTCAATTTCTACGAAATGCCAAAGATGAAAATAGCTCTCAAATCACCATTACATAACAACAAAAAAAAGATCATCTAGATACCAGAATTAAGTATCAATAACATACTTTTTTAACATTAAAAAATATTAAATTTTAAGAGAGAGAGAAAGGCTGATGGTTTACATCCCTAGATTTTAACATTACTATTATTAAAATTCATACTCATGATTTACATAAATTATTATGAGAATAAGATTCTATTGTATTTTGATTTTTGTTAACGCCGCGCGAAGCGTGGATCATTACGCTAGTTTACAATAGTTGAAAGATTCTTCAACACAATGCCTAGAATGGAACATATAAGAAGAAGTTTCATATCTCAAACTGAACTCAAAGGAGGAGTTAAAATAGACCACTTCAATACTAAAATAGTGTACATTGACTTGGACAATGAGTATGACCACATAACTATCTGGACAAAAAAATTCTTGTTCATTCAGGGTCAAAGAATGGAACTACAAGCATGGACTCCGACCTTCAATCCTAATGAGGATACTCCAATTGTACCAGTTTGGATAGTCATTCCTGAACTTCCATGGCACTTTTACTAGAGGGAGGTATTTTCAGTGTTGTTATCATCAGTTTGTAAAGTTCTGCATCTTGACCTAGCATCAATGCAAAAAACTAGGGGAAGTGTAGCTAAGGTCAGGATGCAGGTAGACTTAACACAAGCCAGACCTCATCATGTATGGCCCTGATTTGATGAGGATCAGGATGTCAATGGGGATGGGCACTGGTTGGAGGTTATGTATGAAGATCTTCCACCTTACTGCTTGCACTGTCGACACCTGGGCCATGAAGATTACTACTGTTATGTCAGGAAATGATATGAGGAAGAAAAAAGGAAAGCATTAGAAAATTCATCAAACAACAATAACCACCATGCAACAAACAGAAATGAAAGGCTAACTAGAATACAGCCTCAACAGAAACAGATCTTACAGAACCAGAAGATAACTCAGCATTCAAAACAACAAATTGTGGAGGCAGACCAAAATGAGGCAGAGTAAGCAATAGAAAATTCCAATGCACCAGTCTAACAACCAACAAGGGATAACCATTCCAAGGACTAATGGCAGACTCAAAAGAAGAAGCATTTCAGGGGTTTCAACCAAAGAAGTAGATAGCAGAAATCCATAAAATCTACTAAACAATTTATTGATGCACCAGTGACAAAAATAGTCCAAAACTCAGGTATAAATAGCAATAAACAAGCTGCTCCTCCAGCCACTATGCAAAATCAGAAGGACCCAATTCACAAGCAAAAAATGACTGATGCTAAAGCTAATGGAGGCAAAGTGCATAATCAGGATGTACCTATTCTTAATCAACTAGAGGAACCAAAGGGGGTGGATCTTCCTCAAGTTTTACATGGCAGTGCTGCTTCACATGGTAACCTGCCTGCACAATCTGAAAAAAGATATGGTTGCTCAAAATGATAACCCTGTGGGTAATAAATCTGATAGCACAGAAGAGAACACGAACAAAACCACACAGCAGATGCAGCAAACATTAGACTCCAATCATATTCAGGGGAACCATCAGATAAGGCCTATTTATAATCTCAGCCACACTACAAAGGATGCATAGTATACTAGGAGCCCTAATACTAGTAACAACAAGTTTAAGGGTGCATCTACAAAAGAAAGTATAGTGGATTGGGTTCTAAGGAGCTTTGGAAAATACAATGAAATGCCTAATGTGACCCTCAATCATTCTTGCCAGGGGATACCTTCTCAGACCCTTGTGGATTCACCTAAATCTACTGAAGCTACTAGAATTGACTCACAACTATGGGGTGATGAAGTACAGCTGCTTGCATACAATTCTGAGGCAAATAAAAGATTAAATGAGGAAGGTCAAAGTGAAATCACACAGCCACAACATGCAGCTAAAGTTAACAACATTGCTATAGTGTACCATATCACAACTGGAGAGCTACTATCCAATGCTGAAGATTCACGAGAAGCAGTTAAATCCTGGGAGTAGGTTAGGGGTGATGATGAAAAAATACTTTGAGAAACAGAGATGGCATCCCACCAAATTGTTGGTGAAAATCAACTGACATTCAGTGGAATACTAAATTCAACACACAAATCAACAATGGAACCTACTCTGGATAACATACATGATCTGCAACTCAGCATGTTACAAGAATCATTGATTACTGGAGCGCAACTTGCAATGATGATGGAGGAGGCAACTGAAGTTGAGCCATAACATGCAATGATACCTCTTCAAGCAGATGCAGTTGAGCTAAGTACCATGGCTTGTGATTCAGCAACTGAGCAACCCCTACATATTTAGCTCAACATTCCTTTAAGGTCACCTATACAAGTGCTACATGAACTAGTAACACACAATGTTCCACCAGTGGATATTTAGAATTCACCAACAGATCATGAGAAATGTAAAAAAGGTGAGGATGAATTAACAACAGGTAACTTTAAGGAAGTAGTAAGGGAAGCAGACTTATCTCCAAGAGCTGGAGATAAGAGTGGTAAAAAGGGAAGGAAACAAGGCCAAACCAAAGATATTCCTCAACAAAAAAGGATCCTGCTCAAAAGGGCTGCATCACAAACTAAATGATGATCAAGACATTAATTTGGAACATTATGTTTGTCAATACTCAGCAGGCCTTTCCAAGAGTTATCAATATGTAAAGGGAGCACAAATTTTGTGTGATAGCACTGATGGAGCCTTTTCAGAATTCAGGGCACATACAAAGATATAGAAGCAGACTGAATATGGAATTTTTCTTCTCAAATTTGAATGGGAAGATATGATTGTTCTTTGATGCTGTGGTACAGTGAGAGTTGGTGACAGACACTGCTCAACAAGTTATAATTAAGGTATTCCATCATAATATTGGGAAGCACATTATGATGCCCTTTGTTTATGCAAAGTATTCTTCTACTGAAAGATTGGAATTATGGGATAACTTATATCACATGGCAAGTGACATGGAATTACCTTGGCTAGTGGGGGTGACTTTAATGTTATATTGCATGAAGATGAAAAGATAGGGGGGCTACCGTACATCCTCCTGAATATGAGGACTTTGCTTTCTGTGTTAACTCCTGTGGTTTATTTGATCAAGATTATAAAGGAAGCCCATTCACATGGTGGAATGGGAGACCTAATGAAGAGTGTATTTTTAAGAGACTAGACATGATCTTTGTCAATTTGCAATTCCAGAATTTGTTTCCAACAACTGAAGTGGAGGACTTGATTAGAATTGGATCAGATCATGCACCATTGCTAATGACTTGTGGAGAGCAGGGCAACAAATATGTCAAGGGAAATGGGATATACCTTGGTGTATTATGGCAGAAGTGCAGAAGATTAAGGACATGAAGGCTCATTTCAACGTGATCTTTCGACATGTCTTTAGAGAGGGCAATAGGGAGGCCGATTTTATAGCTAACATAGCTTCCTATTTTGCAGGGACAACATCATTCCAATCATTTCATGACTTACCAAATGCAGGAAAGACTCTGATCAACCAAGATAAGGCACAAATGCCCAACCTGAGGGTTAGGATTGTAAGACAAAGGGCACCTGATTGAAGATTGTCAACTGCTAGTTAGTGCATGTTGTGGACATTTGAATACTGCTGTTTAGTTTCAGGAAATGACAAAATGATTTTAAAACTGAAACAAGCTCAACAAATAGTTTATGTTATACAGTATCAACACATTAAGAACATCATGCATAAAAAGGTGTGCTATGGTGTCATCTCACCGCAAAATCAAGCTGTACTTTTTCGTAGGGGCATGTTATCCTCTACTGTGCTTAGGCATTTGGGGTATCCTAAGTGTGTGGTATCAGCATTTACAATGCTCAATCTACTGAGGATACATCAATGGTCAAAAGCACCTACCAATTACAGTCAACAAGGCATCCTAAACCTCAGAAGAACCAGACAACATTGGCTCATCAGTTCACTGAAAGAAATAGAAAACCGTGGCTTCACAACTCCTTCTCACCAAAATGCTGCAGATCAGCACCATCACAGTACTCGCAGTAGCAACACCAATTACAATAGGACTTCAACAGTCAAACATCACTCACCCAACATTCTATAACAACTGTAGCTGCTTCAACAACATTCCATTAGAATCATTCATCTGCTTCAACCAATGAACAAAAGTTTGCTCTTATCCACCTGTATTATTACCAAATACGGAATTCAAAGTAGATGCATCATCTAAAGCATTCCTCCCTCACTTACAACCCACTCTTCCTAACTCGTTTGCTACATTTTGCAAGTTCCATAAATAGGCTCGGATTAGTGAAACATCAACTGCATGATCCAATGGACATTTTGATACGCTTTGTGGTTTATACAGAACAAATACATAAGTATTCATTGATGCTACAACTGCAATTGTGCTTCTATGAATACATCAACAGGACATCATTTGAAAGCAAGATTAATGAGTACTGTTTCAGCACAACCCCTTTGTCACGCCCCAAAACCGAGGAGCGCGACCGATGCTCAACCGAGTGAACCCGACCGAGCAAGCCTGTTAATTTTTCTTCTA